GCACCAAGCTCAGATACAGTGTTCCTCCCACAGAGAGAAAAAGAGGCTTCATGATGATGATATATGGAAACTTGTGAAAGGTTTTACTGGTAGTTTGGGTTGAATTATAGGAGCCTCCTTTCTAAGGCTGTATGTTTGGGTGGAGAAACTATTGTAATGGGCAGTAAGGACTTTTTTTGTTCTTTACAATGTGTTAGAAACATTGATGTGAATTATGTATATGTTTTCAAATAGTTACTTTGCAGAAACAAGATGACAAAATATAAAAACTGTGGCTGTAGTCCAGTTTGTTAATAAGGTTTTATGAAATGTTTTCAGGTGCTATTTAAGATTTAGAAGACTTGGACTATAAAACTTCCTGTTAAATTTTATATCTTTGATTCATATTTTCCTCCTCTATTATTCAAATTAGCAACAAACTGTATTTAAGAACTGATATTTCCTTTTCAAATATCAGAGAAGCTTGAAAAATAATTTTTTAATGGCTCTTTCCAGGGTGGAACAAGAAAGGCTTTCATACCTGGGTGCAGTTGCATTTCAGTGTCTAGAAATTTTTTTAATCACAAAAAATTACTACTTTAACTTCAGTTTTTCCATCTTTAAAACAGTATTTGTGATACCTACCTGCTAACTTTATCAGGGGAAAAAGCTATGATGGAAAGCTTTTAGAATAAAGTAGGAAGCTCAGCAAATGATCTCCATTTTTACATGGAATTGTATAATAAAAACATACATTTTAAAGTAGTTGAATTTCTTTTTTCTATTGTTGAATGACAGAATTTATGGAGTTATAGTTACTAGTCAGGGTATTGTTAAGTAGAAGTTTTGGTGCTAATCCTGCAAAAAGAAAAGCACAACTGCTTATTTGATTATATCAGTGATGTATCACTTGTGAATTGTGTCATTTTCTTAATATTGTTACCTCAGTGGGCTTTCCTTTTTTTTTTTTTGGTAAAAAAAAAAAAGCTTTCCAGTTACAGGTTGCATAAACTATGTGATTACACATTACTGTGGTCTTAAATTCTTTAACTTACTACTGTTTACCACATGAAATTTGAATTTATAGTAATATATTTTCCTGGTGATGTGCTGGAGAAATTAACCTGTATTGATGCAACAGTAATTTGTAGTCACTTAAGTAATCTTTCTTTCTGTGCTATAATGACCTTATGATAGTGTGCAATGGCTATTATCCAATCCATTCGCAAAAAAAAAAAAAAAAAAAGATTACTTTTAATGGTCTTGGAGACATAAATTTGAAGACTTTAAACATTAATCTGACTTTTACTACTTGGTGGCCTATGATATGTCAATAACATTTTTGTGAATCAGTTTCCATTTCTCTGAAAAGTGCACAGTACCTTTGAGGTCCACTCTTATCATAACTGAAAAGAAAATGAGGTAACCCAGAAAAGAGTGTTTACTCATATTTGCCCAGCCTAATGGGGACTGAACTTTTTGTTGGATCATCTTTAAGCTTTGGCTTCTCCAAATGAATAGTGTCAGTTATTTTTAGGGACATACCTTCTTTACATAGATCTTGAACTTTCAACTTAATTCTAGAAATAAAACAATGGTACTAGAATGTTCCAGAATAAATCACTGATACCTTTTATAGTTGCAGAGAAAATAATAAATTACCTTTTGCTAGCTTCTGGTCTATTGAACTATGGTCTTCAAGAGCTTTCAGTTAAATGCTAATTATTGATTTGATAAACATTCTATTTTTTGAAGGTGGTCAGGGTTAGAGAAAAAAGCTTACCTTTTTTTCCAGCAGAATTATTCCTCATTCTGAAAAATTGGACATAAATCAAATCTTAAACCAGAGTATAATGGTGCATGGTAGGCCATTGATGCAATGTCTAATATAAACTTTGCTTTCCCAAAATAATTTTGCAAGATACAGAGGATCTTCTTCATCTCTCCTTCTTAAACAAACAAACAAACAAAAAACCTGAATAGAACAGGGAAGAAAACTGATGAAATCTGAGCACATTTTCATTTTATAGTAGTTATATGCCAAAAGTATTAATTAACAGAGAATATATTCCCAAGTTATTTTGTCATGTTGAATCATTGAGCTGATGGTATAAGCAAGAATTATGAATAGATCCGATCAAGTCTGAGTACAAAACTAGCTTCCTTTATTTATTCTTTATATGTAGCCACCTTGTGCTTAGCTGATATTTTTGTCAGAAGTACTAACCTGTTGAATTTGATAGATCTATTCAAGCCTGTAACTTGCCTGTTGCAAAAACAACTTGAGGTGACATGTAAAAAAAGGTGAAGCAAAACCAAAAACTAGGGCTTCCTTGGTGGCACCGTGGGTTGAGCACAGCGCTGTGAAGCTGTCCACAGCCTCTGCAGCACGATTCAATTCCTGGCCTGCCAGGGAGATTCCCACCTGGCGTGGCAGACCTCTCCTGTCTCACCCGCTGCTCCCTTCAGTGTATTGAGGTTCTTCTGCCTGTTCTGCTCCCTGCTCCATCTCTGGTGAATTCTCTCACCCTCCCGCGCCTCTGCCCTGTACCCAAGTGCTTGTACAAAATAAATAAATCTTAAAAAAAAAAAAAATCCGTCCAAATTTAAAAGAATTTGTTTGGTTCGCATTTCATTGCAACCTTTTGATCCTTTCTTGATATAAATGTATGTCTACCTACTTTAAATTTACTTTTGTTTTTATTTTATTTTTTATTAACTGTTCACATTGCTTTCATGTATTAGTCAGGCTGCCTATGTTCAACTACCAGTTCATGCATTTGCTAGTGTCAAAAATAAGCCAGTTAAAGTGGTGAGGACAGATTTGCTTCCAAAATAACTACTGCTGGAAAGATCATCCAGCATGAACTAACTCAGTTTTGCCAAAAGGAAAGCCCAAAAGTGCTTTGAAAGCCTGGAGGGGGAGGGGTTGTTAAAGGCAAATCACTGAGGAGTCAAAGGGACCTTGGTTTGTGTGACTGGATCATCTGGTTTTGTTAGTTAGGCCATAAACATGATAACAAATTTCTCCTATCTTTATGATAGGAGGCAGTGATGTGAATTAGAGCAAGGTATCAATTTGAGAACCAGAACAGACTATGAGAAGACAGTTCTGGGTGGTAGAAAATTACATCTCAAAGAGGCAGAGAAAAGATTTATAATTTCAAGCCTTCTGAAATAACTACAGTGAGAGGGTTTAGGAGTCATCTGTCAATTTTTATCAGGTTCTGGCCAGATTAATCCAATTAAAGTTACTCAACTATATTTTGCCTCAGTTTTCTTTTCTATAAAATGGGCATAATAATAGTACCTGTATCCTAGGAATGTATTTTTATAATGAAAGGAATTAATACATGGAGTGCTTAAAACAGGTTTGGCACATAATAAGCTCTCAATAAATGTTAATCTTATTATTTTGAAGATGGAGTTCCTATCCACTTTAGTGGATTGTTTTAGTTATTAAATGATACAAGCAAAACATTGAGAACTGTGCCTAACACTTAATGGTATTCAATAACTGTTGACTAGTAATAGTATTAGTAGCAGAAATAGCTATAGTAGTCACTAATTGGCTTCTAGTACTGAATTATGCCAAGTATTATTCAGGATGATTAAATAGAAAAGAATCTAGAGCTTATTGTTTTTTACATTAGAATGGAATAGATAGTTTTTGTAAATTGGTAATTCAGAAATTGGAAAAAGTGTTTATGACCAAGTCTTTCTACATGATTATAAAATTTTACGCATCACTTTGCCAACATACTTCTTAGATTTTGGACATACAGTTCACATGAATCTTAACATGTTTACTGTGTAACATTCAACTTTTCCAAAACATTTCCTGATTAGTAGAATGGGGTGAAAACTAAATAATTATAGTAATTAGAAATAATTAGAAAAGCCTATAAGAAATGATACAATTTGCTTAAATGGAAAAAAAAAGGTATGTAAAATAAAATAGTAATGAAGAATGAATATTTTATGTAATTTTTCATATTTAAGTTACTTATTTGATATGTATTTGGGTCCTCTTATCTCTCTACATAGAAGTAAAGAAGATATACAAATGTCATACTTTTTCAGTGCTTACCAATAGGTTTAGAGAAGCCCAAGTGATGTCTGTTCATGTTAGAGGAGTCTCTTGATTCCATGAAGTAATAATCCATGAAGTTTGAATTATTAAATGAGTTCAGCATCTATTTGTATTAGGTATAATATCAACCATAGCTCATACTTCACCGCATATGGATTTCCATTGAGGAAGTAGAACACAAACATCAACAGAAGCCCATTCTCTTCAAGTTACAATTTTATCCCTAAAACTTTGATGTTCATATATTTGATAGTGGAAAAATGTTCATTTAGGTAAGAGACCAATAAATGGAAATGGAAGAATAATTTACGTTAACGCTGATTTTTTCAATATATACTTAATTTTTTTCTCAATAAAGAGTATGGCTTATTTTTTTAGATTATTTTTTAATGTTCATTTATTTTTATCATGGTAACATTGGTTAACAGCACTGTATTTGATTTGGAAGTACAATCCAAATGTAATATTACATTTTAAGACCAACTTTTATTCATTATCCTTCTGTAATTAATATTTTGGGCAGTTATAAAGTGAGTCAGGAAATTAAATATTTAATTATGCATATAGAAAAGATGGTCAAAACCAACTCCTCTATCATTTTAAGATGCAATGCATTAAATAATTTCATTCTTTTTACTAAGCACCTAAAATATTGCTGTTAACTGTGACAGTCCTAGAAATATCACTCTTGGTGGTTGATTATATAAATAGAATTTGAAATAGCTTAGGAAAGAGTCTTAGAAAAACTTCTAGGAGTACATTAGTTCTAGACTTATCCCTTTCATCAGCCTGCCCCCAGCTTTTGGCAGGCAACTTCTCCTCACTGGACCAGTAGCTTGTTTTCAGTCACAGTCCAGACTTTTAATAGTTAGTATGTCTCCTTTGCTAGCAGCTGTTTAATTTGGTTTTTGTGTCTTTCTTTCTTTAGTAGTCTGATACATACTTCTGCATGTCAATGCGTTTGCCAGTGGATGAAGAAGACTTCGTGAGTAAGTATTGATTGGGTGGTGTAGGGGTGGGAAGTGGAAGGAAGGGCAGCAATTTGAAATCAGTGAAAGGTTCTTTTTGATGGTCATGAAGATATTAGTCTTTTACTGTCAGTTCCTAAAATGTATTTATCATGCCTAATGTGGGGAAAAAAAAAAAAAAAACTAGAGAGAGCTACAGAGAGACAAGATTACAAACTGTATCTGGAGAGATTGGTGAGTAATAGTAGTTAAGTTGTTGCATGCAGATGTCGATGGCCACCAATACCAGGTGGTCCCATTTGCATAGTATTGGCTTTCTTTCTGTGTCTGGTTGCTTAATTCTGCTCCATTCAACAGTCTGTTTATTTACCTGCCGGTTCATGCTATAAATCGACTGCACTTAGAATCAACATTGGAGAATGTAAGATTTTACCTGTCAGACAGGTAGCTAGATAGGAAAAAAGGAAGGAGAGATTGAGAGACGGAAAGAAGGGAGGGAGAGTGGAAGGCAGGAGAGAAGAAACTTTGAACCTATAGTTTATATTATAGAATGAAAGGATTCTCAAATGACAGTTCCTTCCCCCAACTGAGTCTTTAAATCAGATAGGAAAAGTGACAAACACCATCTGTTTTCATCTTAGTTGTTTTAATTTAAACATCCCTTATGACAGACTTTTAACTGTTTAGGGAAGGTGTGATGGGCAAATTATTCATGACTTTGTTCCTCACTTCACTCCGCTTCACTTCTCTGGTTTGAGATGTTGGTTTTCAGGAGAAAGTGATGATAATGAGAGTTGTACTTTGGTCCCTTGAAACTAATCTTCAAGTGGCTGTTGGAGGGGACTAGTATGTGAATTGTAAAATGTATACAGTAGCCTTCAGGCATCCAAGGATGAATTTTCATGAGGTGTACCCCATAGGAGTATACGTTCCCTACCTGCAAAGACAGAACAATGTGCATTTCTTTCCCTCACACACTTTGGTAGCAATCAAAACAGAAAATAACAGCCTATACCAACACTCTCTAAACAAAATTTTCTCCATGCTCAATTCTAATAATGAAAGTCAGAGTTTGGGATGTTAAGCATTTCCTGATTGTTTCTTTGTATGATATTTAAACAATAATAAGGAAAACGTGAGGAAGGTTAGCACGCCCAGATCCTGAACTTTAAAGACAGAAAAATGATTTAAGTTCCTAATTGTACACCAAATATGATTTAGGATGTAAATTCATCATGGAAATATTATTTTTTAAAGATTTATTTATTTATGCATACAAGAACTGGGGTACAGGCCAGAGGTATGGGGGGTGAGAGGATTCACCAGAGACAGAGTGGGGAACAGAACAGGCAGACTGACTGAAATACACTGCTGAGGGAAGCAGCGGGTGAGTCAGGAGAGGTCTGCGGCGCCATGTGGGTAGTTCCCTGGCCAGGGATCAAACTCTTGCTGCATGTCTGCGGACTGCTTCATAGTGCTGCCTGTTAACCCCTTGCACCACCAGGGAAGCCCTCATCATGGAAATATTAACAGTAAATCTTTCCTCAATTTCACCAGACAATGGGGTGAGGAAAAAAGACAAAACTTGCAAGCTGACCATAGATCTGAGGCATATGGCAGGGGAGGAGAAGTAGGAGGGGTCAAAATGGCAGGGGAGCGCACCAGGGACGCTGGTCATGGACCACAGGTGCTATGGTGGTGGGAGAACTACAGCGACCACACCTGAGGGGAGCAGCATAGAAAAAAAATATTTACTCATAAAAAAGGAATTTTATGTAAAGTTCTCTCTTTATTAATTTTAATATCTTTACTAACTTTTATATCTTTTTTTTTCAAGTTTAATCATAGACATGATTCCTTCTGTTTCACACTTGCTTTGAAGAGAAGGCTACTCTACACACCTGGATAAATAAGATAGTCACATTTCACAGCAGTGTTACAGGTCACACATTAATAGGCTACTAGCTGGGAGTAGTATATGATTTCAGAGCTGAAAATTCTTAAGGTCAATAAATATATATCCTGGAATGTGTTACTGCTCTTTTAATGTAAATGTGTTTACTTTCACGTAATTTAAAATTGAGGAGTACAAGTGAATGTACTCAGTCAAGAAAAATACTCAGAGGAAACACATAATGGGGCTAGATTCAAGCAAGGTGCTAAATATTTCTGCATTTTCTTAGGTAATTGTCTTCTAAGATTAAACTGTTCCCTGTTCTAAAGTCCTCAAAGGATCATAAAAGGTTAATAACTGTTTTCGGTATTTCTTCTTTTCCTTACTGCTGAGAGGATTTCATGAATACTGAAGTTTGTCACCTGTTCAAAATAGCCTTCTTTCATCTTCTGTGTGAGTTTTTAAATGTAGTACTTTTAATATACTACCCCAAGTGATTTGTGGGGAACTTTGTTTACATAATCCAACCACCACAAACATGTAGTGTAGACAAATTAGAACTAGAAATTTGAAAACCAAAGAGAAATTCCAATCATTTATGTAGCAGAATAAGTATGGGGAATTTTGTGTGTATTATCTTATTAAGTCTTAGGATAACTCTGTAGATCATCCCATTATAGACAAGAACATTCTCTTATCACCCCACCATTAGCCATTGCTTACTCAGGACCCGCCAGACACTAACATAGCAAAAGCTCAGCATATTTAAACCATTTTACAGAAAAGGAAATAGAGGGATAGGGAATGTGCCCATACTTTTTGATAGCTATGTGTTACCCTACTTGCATGCTGTTTAAGTCATTACAGATGTGTTTGTGGGGCAGTGATGCAGAGAAGAAATGAAAGAAATTCGTTTGAAAAGGAAGGAAAGGAAAAGGGCTTGGATGTGTGGTCCTACATCAGGAGGGTGGTCTCACATTGCTGTTCCATACTCCCGAAGAGGCAGTTTTGTTGGTGGTAACCAAGGTTTTCCAAGAATGAAATTTTATCCTTTTCGTGGCTTGTCCCAGTTTCTGGATCTTAGGATGATTTATCACAAGATTACATATGGTTGAAAATGATGACATGTAGGGTCCTCCCTGGTAGCGCAAGGGATTAAGACGCAGCACTATGAAGCTATCCACAGCCACTGCAGCACGAGTTCGATCCCCAGCTAGGGAGCTGACCCATATGGCGCTGCAGACCTCTCCTGTCTCGCCTGCTGCTCCCCTCAGCAGTGTGTTTTAGTAGATCTGCTTATTCTGCTCCTCACTCTGTCTCTGGGAATCTTCTCACCCCCACATCTCTGGCCTGCACCCCAGCTCTTGTATGCATAAATAAATAAATTATAAAAAAAGAAAGAAAATGATTACATGTGAAGACCTATAATAGTTTATTCTTTTTTTAAAGACACTCATCATTTTATACCTCTGCTTTTATTATCTGTACCTTTTAAACATTTGAATGCCAGCAAGGTTTGCGCTATAGCATGTGAAGGGGACTTAATAATTGCTTACTTAATATATGAGTGAACACTGCAAAAGTGTTCTGTTTATTCATCATTTTCTAAGGCAATATATCAAATATTAAATAATTTACCTTATGCCTTAAATTATATTATTGTCTGAATATAAGGGAACAGTTGTTTATATATATATATATATATATATTTTAAAGATTTATTTTTATTTATTTATTTATACAAGCACTGGGTACAGTCAGAAGCACGGGAGGGTGAGAGAAATCACCAGAGCCAGAGCAGGAAGCAGAGCAGGCAGAAGGACCGAAGTACACTGCTGAGGGGAGCAGCGGGCGGCAGGAGAGGTCTGCGCGCCATGTGGGACCCTCCTCTGGTGGCCAGGGAGTAGCTGGGGATCGAACAGGCGCAGCAGATGCTGTGGGCAGCTTCGCAACCCAGCGCTCAACTGCTGTGCCACCGGGGAGGCCCATGGGAACAGTTGTTTTTTAAGCAAAGGCATGTGTTCATAAATTCAGCAAACTTGTAAAGTTCTGCTGTGTAACAGTTATTGGACTAGGCTATGGGGATGTCAGATATGTCACAAAATCAAGAAAAATCACAGCCTGGCAGAATTCTAGAAGAACACAAATGTTAAAACATGCAAAAAGGACTTTCTCCTTTTGCTTTTCAGATTTCTCAAGAAAATCACAAAAGGCAGAATACAATTCAGGTTGTTTAATTAGGACAAAACAAGCTCTTACTGGCATTAAAACCCAAAATTGCACTTGAATAATTCATAATTTTGGCTTTATGCTGTGTGACTAATTACATCTCATTTTAGATAAAAATACTTTTTAATTCTGAGACAGTGCTATCACAATTGTCATGGAATTTCTATGTGCATATGCCTGTCATATTTACATATGAGCATAAACAACATCTTTGATATATTTCTATGGCTGTATTGAATTTTAAATGCAAATTAAAGTAGATATTTGGGGAAATACTGTAATGAAGATAAATGTAATTTTTATGTTTTGAATAAAAGCTATCCATAGAGCATTGCTTTTGCTTATTGTTTTAATAAAAAATCACAGACTTGGAATGGGTAAAGGTATGATAAAATCTGCATTGACCACTGAATTGTGATGCTGCCTAAAAGGTGTTTTATAGACACTCAGAGGAATTGACTCTGACAGCAGCCCACTCAGCCAAGAAATTTGACTGTCATCTTCATCCACTTGCTTTACCTCACATGGATGACCAGTAAATAAATGTGTATTTTCCTTAGTGAATGATGGCAGGTCCCTATCTATCAAATTGCACTGTACAAATGAGACAGAAGCCATTGAATTTAGAAATAGATGAAATTAATATAATGATTCATTGCTTTTCATTTTCTTGGGCTTCTCTCTTGAATGTAGAATAATTTCTACTGTGGAATTACATAGTCGCCTTAAATTTTCTCAATGTGACCTTTCTTAAATAAAGCCCATATTAAGGTGATGTTAGGATACTTCAAACACTGCCAGGCAATCTACTATTTTTTTTAAAGATTTATTTATGTATGCGTACAAGAACTGGGGTACAGGTCAGAGGTGCGGGGATGGGGCAGGTGGTGAGAGGATTCACCAGAGACAGAGTGGGGAACAGAACAGGCAGACTACTTTTGATCATATTTAGGGATCACTCAGTGGTGTGACTACAGAGACCAAGGAAGTCACAGTGTTCATATATCCATGCAATATCCACACAGTAACCAGAAAGAGGAGTGAGTGTAAGAGGGAGTTGTCTATATATCCTATTTCTCCTCTGTCACCTAGGGTTTTCTCCACATGAATAGTGTAGTCTCTGTCTCCCACATGACCACTGAATATCTTCTAGTAGGCACCCTAGGAAGCTGTTCCAGTTTCTGAGTGAAAGTTAGTTGAGGGCCTCCCTGATGGCGCAGCGGGTTGAGAGCAGTGCTGTAAAGCTGTCCGCATCCTCTGCAGTGCGGGTTCAATTCCCAGCTGGCCAGGGAGATACCCACATGGAGAAGCAGATTTCTATCTGGCCCACTGCTCCCCTCAGCAGTGTTGTCTGTCATCTTACTGTTCTGCTCCCCACTATGTCTCAGGGGAATTCTCTTACCCTCCCGAGCCACTACCCAGTTCTTATATAAATAAATAAATCTTTAATTAAAAAAAAGTTAGTTGAGAGAGCTAAGATAGCATAAATAAGACAACACAAAACCACACTAGAGGTCTTTGATAAGTGGATAAAACCTAATTTATTTCATGATAATCTGTGTGCCCTGTCTCAGTATTTCTTGAATGTTTTCTATCCTTTGGTCACCCAACATGTTTCCAACATGCCAACCCCGAAGATCAGGAGATTTACACTTGTATTTTCATGTTCTTTACTTTATAAGTTAATCATCAATAGGCTGTACTAGTCTTCTGTTGCCTATCTATAGCTAACAAGGATGTTCCTCCCATTTCTGTTAGTAAATTTGGGTTGGTTTTATGTACACAGATATTTCCTAAGTATTCATTCTACCACTGGACTGTTCCAAGTCCTTGGTCTGGCAGATCCATCAATATTTGACTTGCAGCCCTGGATAGCCACTTGGAAAGGAAACGGACAGAAAGCAAAGTGCTAAATGAAGTTCTCTCCTAGGTCACATTCTTAGGGAATTTTATGGCTCTGATTGTAGTCAGATGTAAGCTTAAAGAGGCCATAAATGCCTAACAGCTTCATGCAGTTAGGACAAATTTTTCTTAGAACTCCAGAAAGTAGACTTAGTTATCTCTCTGTTCAATATGTCACCCACACACGTACTTTAAAGTTTTTTATTTCAGATGACATTATCCTTTGAGACATCCTCCAATCTTTGCACTTTCTGTGTCATAGTTTTTCCTTTAATTAATGTGCATGAGTCACTATTTCTGGAGTCCTAGTCCTTCAAAAGTAGTTGGTTTCCAGAACTTACTCATACTTGCCTACAAAATTTTCTGATCTTATACATCAGACAATCTGAACTGTTAACACCCATTGAGACTGAAGTACCTTTTTCACTTAAGCAGCTGTCATCCTGTTATTGAGTTAGAATACTTGGTGACACTTTAATCTTAATGGATAGAATATTCCCTTGCTCCTCACGAGGCTCTGTTTTTGCCTACATGTCACCACCCCAAAGCTGCCTTTGTTTATTCTGCCTGTCAGACTCACACACTTACATGCAGTTTCCAATATTTTCATCTAGCTTTCTTTGCCTTCAATCCTTTATTTATTTGATGTATGTTTGGAGAAAAAAGAAAAGGAGGAATTTCTTTGATTTGTAATGTTAAAATATTTTTCTATATTCTGTTTTGTGTAGTGTTAAAATCTCCAGCCTAGTCATATATGTAGCTTATGCTCAAAGGACCTCATTCTTATTCACTAATGTGGGATCTTGTTATGCAAAGCAAGGAATAATAGGAATGGAGCAAACCCAGGAAATGAAACTGTCAGCCTCATCTTTTCTCAGTTGACTCCTCCCACCACTGGCAGCAGGCCCATCTATAAAATTGTCCAAGTACTGCTTTGTTTTTATGGCATTTATTATTTGTTTTAGGTTTACATTTTGATATAACATTCCTTTTCTGGTGGTATTTTTCGTTTCCACTGACAATGAATTGTACCTGGAGCAATAATTATATGAATACTTCGATCTTTTGGATATGAGAAAGATGGTTGCTTTCTTGTTTAAACCCTGTACCAGTAATTTACTTAGCAATTAAACTTGGTTGAGTTTCTGGAGAAATAAGAGTCCGTAAGAGCAAGTTGTTATAAGAGGGAACTCAGGAATTTTCTTCTACTATCACTTAAAAATATTGATGTGCTTCTAATTACAGAAACTAAAATTAAACACATATCTAGAAAGCGTTCAATGTGGAGCAAATAAATCATTCTTAATATAGCATGTGAAAATGAGAAAAATTTCAGAACATGCCTAGAGAAGTTGTACTTTGAATGATTTTTGCTTTTTACCTTAAAAAAATTAGAAGATCCTGTTGTATAAGCAGGGACCCAGGCAAAAAATTTGACTTTCCTTCCTGATGAACAGCCACGGAGATTGCATGTCCTTGTCTTCATGATATATTCTTCTCCCAAAAGGTTTTCCTTCCTATCCTTAGTGAAGCTTTTGTTCATTAATATTTCATTTTATAAATTTAATAACTCATTTTTTTTTTCAAAAAAGATTTTTGCCTCCTTTCACAATAACACATGCCCCACATTCATATGAAAAAGACACTACTGGGGACTCTTGCACAGATCCTGACCACTCAGGGCTTTCCCCAAAACTTTCCCAAGCCCTGTATGGTGCCTTATGGGAACTCAAGTTCACCTCTGGTGCTTTTGTCTGCCCTCATGGCTTCAGACATCAGGGTTTACTTTTTGAGTAATTTTCATATACATAATTTCCTCTCCTCTCTTATGAACAGGACTCACATCATTTAAATCTTCTGCTGGATATTTCCACCTAGAATTTTATTTGATACCTCAAACTAACATTATTTTCTACCCAAGCAGTTTAAAATTCTAGATAAAATGCACTTGGACATGTTGATTTATTACCAAAATACCAGAATGATCAAGGCTTAGAAAATCTGTTAATAGAATCTACTCATAATAAAGTTTTCTATAAGGGATGGGAACCATGTGATCATGTACATAAGTTCTGGAACAGCAGAGGAGACACCATTTTCTTTGACAAACCCCTGATGGAGTGACAGAGGGACATTTAAAGGGGAAAAAAAAAAGGTGGAAGATACCATTGGAACAAAAAGTTAGATACCATTAGACTGATTATAAGCCAATTGATAAAGATGAATATGAAGTAAAAAATTGTAACACATAGCAAGATAAATTTAAAGTGAAGAAAAAAAGAAATAAAGGCCATGTACTCCCACTTCATTTCTTTTCAATTTTTCCTTCTGCCAGGGATGATACCCTGAGAGGATTATGGAAGGAAGGGAGGAAATCTTACACTCAACTTGAGAGTGAGTCTGTAGATAGACCCTGTCCTTCCTTCTTTTTCCCTTGCTAACAAAGTTAGGCTTGGTTACGTTATGATTTTCTATGATTTATAAACTATTGTAATTTCCAACTGAGTCCTCCTTTCCAAAGTATATCTTCTTCAGTCTCCTAAACTCACTATATTCTTTGGTAATAGAAAACAAGCCTCAAATTAGAGCAATTCCATTTTCCTTCTGTCCTCTGTTAGTTTTATAAATAGTGGTATGAAAATCTCAAGATATGATTTTTAGGTTTTAAGTTCATAGTTTCAGTGCAATAAAGGAAAAGTGTTATCTCCACTGAAAGTCAAGTCAGGCTGGCTCGTAGTAGGTGGCCTGTGTTTTCTGACTATGCACACTCTGCAGGTCATGGTGTTATAGTTTAATGTAGAACATCTTTTATAAACACTTGTGTTTTAGAGACATGTTTTAGCAGAATGTGATATTTTATTAATTTTATCATACAAACAAAAAGATAAAAGATGCAATTTTACACACATGGCTAATTTTAGGCTAATTAGCATTTTTACTGGCAAGGGTGAGTTGTAACTGGCCCCTGTAGGACAGCATGGTGAATTTGGACAAAAGGGAATCAGTCAAACTCAAGCCAGGAAAGGGAAAGGGACCTCATATTCAATCTCTAATCTATAGATAATAGTTTAACTTGTTTTTAGCTTTTGATGTCTGAGCTGATTTTTGCTTAATGTCTTTAAAACACTTATTAGTAGAAAAAGAGAAATGACATGTGTTGGTTTTAGCATGCTTTTACTGAGTATGTGGTGGGATCCAGAGTAGTAATTTTTCTCTTCTATATTTTTGTGAAGATATATTTTCCACTTTTCTTTTCTAGAATTTGTCTCTATCACATTCCAGTGACTACTACTTTTAGAGCTTTCATTTTTTACCCACACACTGTTCTCATTACTGTATATGGTCTCTTCCATTAAAAAAATGTGTGTGTTGCTTATTAATTATTATTATTAGAGTTAACTATCCGAGGAAGTTAAATGATCAAATCATGGTCATCTTAAGGAAAAAGAAAATTCATACAACTTGGGCGCTCTATCATAAAAGCATCAAATTGTCAAACTACACATCTCTTGTGAGTTTGTGCACAGAAGTATAACCTGTGTTCATATTCATGTGTCATTTTCTCTTAACAGTTGACTTCAAGCCGAGGGCCAGCATGGATACTGTCCATCATATGCTGCTTTTTGGATGCAATATGCCTTCATCTACTGGAAGTTACTGGTAAGGAATCATGGTTCCGTAGTAGAAAAGCATATAGAAAATGTTTTTTTGAAATACAAAGGACATCTGTGGAAGCATTTTACAGCTGATTAGCAAATAGGCAGACTATTTGTATGATCATTGTTCTTTTGCATTGCATGGTTATCATGGTTTGATTATCACTGTTATTTAGTCCACACATCCATCAGTATGTGTTACTCACTTAATAACTATGTCTATTAGCATAGACAGTGTCAAGGTATAAATGGCTTGTAAATAAAGACTGAATGTTTAAGTAATGGATACTCTGATAATTATTTTTAAAGTTCATGATTCAACCCAAAGGGCACTGTTTGTCCCAGACACTGCGCTAGGTGATCTGTACACACCATATTATCCTGACATCCCTGCAAAGCAGGTATTAATAGCCCCATTTTCCAGACAAGGATCTGAACTCCCAGAGATTCAGTACTTGCTCCAGGTAACACAGTTGGTTCGATTCAAACCAAGTTGTCTGGTTCCATAGTCAAAGTTATCTTCATATTATCATGCTGTCTCCAACTTATTTAAGTTACTATTGGAGTATTCGAATATATTTCAAGCAACATTCTGAGTTTTAATATCATGTTATGAGCAATCAATAAACTTCTATTGGATGCCTATGATATGCCAGAACTGTAGTAGACACGATAGGAGTCTCTAGGATAAATAGCTATGTCTTCTCCCCTTAGAAAGTTATACCACAATTATGACTTGAAATCTTCTGATTCAATTAAGTTTTTGGTGTTCATGAAAATGAGCTTACACTGCAAATAGCTGTATTTTAAGATTCATATTTTGCACCAATAGCTAGCATCTTAATAATCCATCATGACTAGTGTGGCAGCTTTGTATTAGAGAGGGATATGTTTTGTGGTCTTGTCTCTGCATAATAATGTAGACTGGTAGACCTTTCCCTGTGCATCCTAATATTATTTAGGCTGTTGTGCAGAATGCACAACAAACAACTGCTTTCTAGTCATTTTTATAGTAAACAATTGTAATATGTATTTGGAACTTTTAAAAGCACAGGGCAATTAGTGGAAGTCTACATGGACCAAGTACCATCAAAGTATTTGTTAATAGGCTTAAGCTGTTTGATGAAAGGGGCACATCATATAGGAACTCATCTCATATAACTGGGTTTATAGAAAAATGAAGTCAGCTAATTGCACTTAATGCCCTTTGATAGCAACATTCCAGTTTTTGCTCTTCAGTAAATTTTTGTAAAGAAAATTCTGCGATTAAAAGATTATTCTGTGACAGCTTTTTCTGAATCTTATTCAGAATTCATATCCTATGGTTCTGCCGCGCCATGTGGGACCCTCGCCCACTGGCCAGGATGGAACCAGCACTGCAGAGGCTGAGGACAACTTCACAGCACTGTGCTCACTGCCTGCGCCACCAGGGGAGGCCTAGTATTCATTTTTCTTCTGAGTTTTCGTGTATGTCTTTGAACTGTTTTTCTGTGTTTTCTCCCTTTTCTTTGAACTTTTTTATCATGGCAATTTTGAATTCTGTATCTTCTAGGTCTTTGTATTTGGGTTCTGTAGATTTGTTCTCTTTCTATGGTTTAGTATTGCCCTGAGTACTCAAGTTGCCATTTGTTGTGGTTTTTTTGTCTCCCTATTATTTTCTTTTTGCATCGTGCTGTTGCTGGGACTGCTTCAGCTGGTTGTGGCTCCAATCTCACACTGGGGTGAGAGGTCTTACTGGGGCTGCAGGCTGTCCTTGCTGTCAGAGAGGCCTCCTTACTTCTACCTGGGCATGACTCCACACCCTATGCTGGATAGGGGGTCTAACTGATATGGTAGATGACTGCTGCTTCTGATGGTGGAACTTTAGGGCTTCCAAAATATTTTATGGTAAGTCCATGATTGATGACAAATCTTTCCTACCAACTTCAATAGTCATTGTTGCTTCTTAAGTATTATCCATGCCAAATTAAACACATTAATGTTATATGGAGTCATTTATTCAAACAATAGCATTGAAGAAGATGAATAACGTCACAGAGGAAATTAAAACAAAAACAAAGGCACTGGATAAGTGCATACTTGTTCTTAAGCTAATAAGTAAAATGCAGGGGGGGGCGTGTTATGGTTCTGAATTGAAATGAAAACTTTTCATTAAAAGTGAGAAGATAAATCTAGTTTAAAGTATTGTAAGATTCTTAAAATAAATCTAAGCAAGGAAAAAAGGGTAAAATGTATATTAGTTTTCTTGGTTATGTGTAACAAACCACAAACTGAGTGGCTGAAAACCACATAAATGTATTCTCTCATAGTTCTGGAGATTAGAAAGGGAAATCAAGGTATCAGCAGGGCCATGTTCCCACCATTTCTTTAAAGAATAACCCTTCCTTCCTTCCTCCTGGATATAATCCTTGGTGTTCCTTGGTTTATCCATTCACCACACCTATCTCTGCCTCATTCTTTTTTTTTTTTTTAAGATTTATTTATTTATTTATCTATCTATCTATCTATCTATTTATTTATTTATACATGCACTGGGTACAGTAAGACGCGCGGGAGGGTGAGAGAATTCACCAGATTCAGAGCGGGGAACAGAACAGGCAGAACGAGGAAACACACTGCTGAGGGGAGCAGCAGGCATGGCAGGAGAGGTCTGCGCGCCATGTGGGACCCTTGCCAGCGGCCGGGGATCAAACCGGCTCTGCAGAGGCTGCGGGCAGCTTTGCCGCCCAGCTCTCAACCACTGCGCCACCAGGGGAGGCCCTCTGCCTCATTCTTAACGTGGTATTCTATCCTGTGTGTTCTGTGTTAGAAATTTTCTTCGTAAAAGGATGCCAGAAATGAGGTTATAGGACACCTACTCCAGTAAAATCTCCTCTTAGTTTGATTCCATCTTCAAAGTTTCTATTTCCAAATAAAATCACATTTATAGATAGTAAGTGTTAGCAGTTGGACATCTTTTAATGGAGGATAAATTTTAAGCTAAAATTGAACAAATTTTGCTGAAATGGGAGACATGCAAATGAGGATGGCTGGAGCAAGTGGGAGGCAGCCTTGAAAGAAGTCTTTTGAACTTTTATTCAGCCCCACAGAAAATTAATACTTATAATTAGCAATCTACCATGTGAAAATCCACTGAATAAAACACAGATTTTGGTGCCAATGACAGTAAAGATAAAATAACTAAACATTCACTCATTCAACTAATTTTTTTATGCTTAATACTTAAACACAATAGGAACAGAGTGGTGAACAACACAATACTCCCTTTAATGTTTAATAATCTAGCAAGGAGCCAGGCAGGTAAACAATTACAACACCTTGCATAACAAGATCAAATTGACCTGTTGAAAAGACTCCTTTCACAACAGGTAGAAGAGTAGGTTGGAAGAAGAGAAAGACTAGTAAGTGATGATTTAGATGATTATATAACAGAACATCGGTTGCAAGAATTGGGTGATAAAGAAGTTATTTTGAGGACAGAGAGGAGATACATTCAAAAGATCTCCTGGCTTGAGAAATTCTCTCAAGTTACAGTCACCAAAATTAAAGATTTACCTGAAGTTTTACCCAATCTTTTCTTAGTCCTCTCTGTTGTGGGGGGCACAGGGAGGAATTTCTCTATTCCATTGAAGTTGTTCTTAGCTTGGTTAGTTGAGCACATTAATATCAGGCAAATTAGTAAGAGGAAAGGCCAAAATTTAATAACATACACAGGAAAAATCTACATGCTTGTAAATTCTAAAGAATAATGGAGTAGACCAGGGATATTTTATCTTCATTGATAGACCTGGGACACCAAGGAGGCCAGAGACAAACTGCAAATGTAAAATAAGAAGGAGTATTTTATCCTTACTCTGAGAATTAAGATGAATCTCTTAGAGGACATATTTACTGATAAACCTATAACTGGGTAAGACACCCCCCCAAAAAATAAACTGCATTCTTCTAGCTCAATAAGGGGGACTGGTGGTTGTTTTTCTGATTGGGAAAAAGGCCGGCCTGAGATTAAGGTATGATAATCTCCTCTATGATTAGGGCAGATGATGGATTTATGCAAGGACAGAAGTTTCCCCTCAACCTTGGGGGATTTCATTGCAATTAGCTCAGAATACTCTGCATACCAGAGCAGGGCATTTTTGGGAAACCAGTCCTGAGACTCTGGGGTATCTTATTTGGGTACCCGCAGTTGCAAAGTACTCATTTCTCTTTACTACAGTACCTTAAACTCCATCCTGTCCCCCTGCTGAGTAATCTAGCTCTATTAATTATGTTCTTGCTATTAGCCAACCTCTTCATACTTGTCCTCACCATTCTTTGAATATGCTCGAGCCAGCCACCCATTACAACACTATTAACACCCAACACACATCTACACCCTCAGGGAAATTCAGTGCTCTTGTCAAATACTGTTTTTATGCTCCATTCACAGCTGTATTTAGAGAAGTTTGCATTTCATGGGTCCAATTGTTCATCACCAATGCATTCCTTAATCTGTTATTTGGCTTCTTCTCCTATTAGCCCTTAATTGCTCTCATTGCAGTTTCTAACAAACTCTTATTTGCTAAATTCACTAAACACTTGAGTGACTTACTTCTGACCTGTCAGCAAAATGTGGCAATTTTTCCTACTCCAGCCATCTTCATGTACTCTCTTGTCTTTTACTGTATATTTTCATTACTTCTTTTCTTCTTTCTTTTCCTTCTCAGTCTCTTCCTCTAGTCATTTCTCATGTTATATTCTTCAAAATTCATCATATGTGTTAGTCCTTTTTCTTCCCTTCAGTAAATGTACCTTTGGCAAAATCAAGCAACAAGAATAACTAGGTTCATGAAGAAAATACTGAAAGGTAAACCACTCAAAAACCTATACAACTCTATAACCAGAGCCCTAACAAAAGCATTAATAGTCTCAAATCTTAGAACAGAAAAATCTGTATTACAAAGCAGGGTGAGGGGCACCCTTGCCTGCTTGAAATAGGTTCTGCCAACCACTGCATAAAAACAAACATACTCCACTGTGTAAGACCTTCAATAGTAAAGCAGTTTAATGCAATTAGTGTGTAATAGAGAGAAGAGAAAGAGAAGGGATATAGTTTCCAATTAAAGCACCCAAGGCTACCTATCCCCTCATGAACAAAGGCCCAGTTAAATTAGGTTGGCCCAAAACAGGACCACTGAGACCTGAAAACATGCCGCAAGTATAAGGTACCTTCTGGTGAGGTCCAGTAGGAAAGGGACAGAAATGACCAGGCAAGTGTGGAAGGAAATTAGCTAAATCAAAACCCAAGTCAAGATAAAGGCTGCCATTGTCAGCCTCTCCACAGGTCTATCACTCATGTCTGTGTCTCTTTCAATGTCTCCTTCCATCTTCCCCAAGTCCCAGGTACAAGTCCAAGGCTGAGAAGTGTCATGACTCCTTCACATGACTCTCTGCTCCATGTGCCTCTTCCAGGTATTCTTCTTATCTCTTCTCCTTCTTCCTTCCTTTCTCTTCTCTGCTGCTCCTCAGCCAGATCTTCTCTCTTTCTGAATCCTTCTCTCAATCTTTTCTAGCTTCACCTCCCTGTCTAGCTCCACCTTCCTTAGGCTGGGGCAGGGAACCTGGAACCCTCCCTTTCCCTAGAGATTACCCTGTAACATCTCCACTAACCATTTCACCCAGCAGCGTTCAGTCTTTCCATTTAGGTTTAAAATGAGGGTTCACCTCAGTCTTTCAAAATGTGTCTCCTTCAGGGGATGAATTCTCAAAAGACCTGTTCCATCAAAAATGAAAAATCTGAGATTTAGAAATAGCTTTGCTGCTTCTTCATTTGCCACTGCAATTCCAGTAGCTACATTAACATTTTAGCAAACATAATGATACTTAAAAACATTTACTCATTAAAAAATAAAAAAGAAGTACTTCTGTAGGATTTATAGCTACTTTTCCTTGACTATTGAATTCTAAGGTTTTCTTTTTATTAGAGAATATAAGGTTCTCTGTTTCAAAAGTTGCTAAATTGGTGTTAATCAATGGAATTTCTGGGTTATGCATCATCATTTCTCTGCTTGTTGAACTAAATTTTATTTATTTTTTAAACATCCTTGTTTATGTTTTCACAGTATAGAATTCCTCAGGTGCTGTTGCCATAGTTTTCCCACCATCAAAGTGCCCGCAGTCCACTGTGCTTTCCTCCCTACCTGTTCTCCATTCTCCCCTTCTCACTGTCTCCTCTCTCCCCCCTCCTGTCTTTAATATCCCAGACCTGTGCTTTCAAGGGTCAGTCTTACAGTTTGTCTTTGTCTGATCCTTTGTTGGGTTTCTCTAGATTCCACATATAAGTGAAACCATCTGGTATTTATCTTTCTCCTTCTGGCTCACTTCACTTAGAATAGCCCCTTCCAGTTCAATCCATGTTGCTGCAAATGGCATGAATTTATCTTTTTGGATTGCTAAGTAGTAGTCCATTCTTTATATATACCACATCTTTGTGATCTACTATGTGTCCTGGGCATTTGGTTGTTTCCATTTCTTGGGTATTGTGAATGATGCTGCTAAAAACACAGGAGTGAAGGTTTCCTTTCAAATTAATGTTTCTATGCTCTTTGGATAGAGACCTAGTAGTGGAATTGCTGGGTCCTATGGTAGATCTATTTTTATTATTTTGAGGAATCTTCACACTTCTTTCCATATGGACTGGATCAGTCTAAATTCCAGCCAGTAGTATAATAGGGTTTATTTTTCTCTACTCCTTCACCAGGACT